ATGAAGTTTATTTTGTTTAAATAAACCTCAAGAGAACAGGAGGAGTTGGAATTTGCAAGAGTGACCTGGGTCGTTAGTCTGCCAGCAGCGGGTTGACGATTGATGCGTTATAATCCCAATTGAGTAGTTTGCGGTGTAATTTTAGAATTTGGTAAAAATTTGGACCCTGACGCTGGCACACACAGTGCGGGCCCACTCTTGCGAATGACGTCACGGGCATCTTTAACGTCCACTGCGAGTGAAGCAGACGGCCGCGTACCGTGATCAAGGCTACCGCACACACTGCAGTGTTAACCAGGGGCGGCCGCTGGAACCGAACTGGGAACCTCTGCAACGAGCGGCGAACGGAGCGCTACCGCGGGGCCTATGGCATTCAATAACAACAATCGCATGGGTCCTCACGGTTTTTAATGCACGCGTTTTGTCTGAACATGGGGATGTTTCCTCCCCATCATCAGTGGTTAAACTTTGTGTTGCTTCTGGTTGAGATGTCAACTGGCTCTGCGTGCATGTTTTGAGAACGAGTATGGTTTGTAAACACACAGGTAATGGAATTGAAATGTCTGGACTTCCATTAATGCGAATTCTCATGGTCTGAAGATGAGCCCTGATTAATGGCATTCAGTGTATACATCTCTTTTATCAATCTGCTGGATGAACATTAAAGGCTGCAATATTTATCCTTGGGAAATTGACAGTGCTTATCACATCAATAGCCTGGTTGCCTTCATGGGGATAGGAAATAGTTTCAGTTCAAGTTTCAGGTAGAGATAAACATCGCATGTCTCTATTACAACCAATCGTTTGCTTGTTATGCATTGTAACTGTCATTTGCAAGCAGGTTTTCTTATTACATCTGTAATGACGACTTCGACGCACTTGTCTTGAGATGATTTATTTATTTAAGGAGCCGCGTGCTCACACTCGAACAGGCGGAGACCCCCACTGCAACAGCCCGAGCATTTCCCTTATATACGGTCCGAGGCCACGCCCCCATTCCCGAACCTTCTCGCTGGTTCGAGACCGCTCGCTCTACCAGCAGACTTTACTGTCATCTTCGTCACCTGGCCACGCTCCTTTTCTCAATCATTCCCGTGGCCACTAGTCCATTCGTACTCCAGGCTGACTCCTGTGGCCACTAGTCCACACACACCGTAGGTGGACTCTACATATCTTTTAAGCCAAAAGTCTGTGATCAAATCACTGTTAATGTGAGCTCAGAAGCTAAGTAGGATGGGGCCCTGGATGGTGCTTTGCTCAGTGACCACCATGCAACAGCACACCAAAAAAATAAAATGCAACACCGCCTTAACCATTACGCAGGCCACCAGTTCATGAAGAGCTGCATTTGTCGTCATCTTCAGTCACTCGTCAATAAATCGAGCGAATGTGACCAATCTTGAGGCAGCGGTCAGACGGGGAGACGTCTCAAGGCCGGGCTATCTTGTCAGTAGAAGACGGCGTAGAAACAGCTCCACGTGGAATCCTGCTGGTTTCACCAACTCCAAGCGGACCAGCATGCTCCATCGACCCTGACATGCGCGGCGTTGGGAGGCCCACATCCAGCAGTGGAGTTGACAGCGCCGCACTCAATGAAGTCCAAGTGACCAGTTTGGTTAAATATGAGCCGTCTAACGATGTTTCAATTGAGCGATTAAAATAGATTCGTATGCTCGGGATATGTACATTGAATCGTGAGCCTGGGAATGTATCATTACATATTTCTGTAAGATGATATGCGAATTATACGATGGTGGTACATTTCGGCTGCCAGAGTGAATGCGATTGTAGTGAAATTACAAGATTAAATGTAGAAACAATACAAAGTTATTATGAATACAAAGTAGATGAATGAAACGATACAGAAGGGAAGCTGTTCATACATTAACAGGTGATAGACCCGCTGGGGTAATAATGGATAGCACATGCCTGTATGCAGCACATCTCTACCATGTCAGTGAATTGCAGTACTGTGGAAAATATTGAAAGTGTGTCAGGGGTTGGAACAGTGGCAGCAGTGGTTATATCACATTACACTCTGAAGCCAGTCACCCCGAGTTCGAACTCTGGTCACGTCTATCATCAGTGGCGAGTGATATCATCAGTGGCGAGTGATATCAGAACCATCTCCTCTTACCGACCCTCACCAACCCACATGGTGAAGTATGGTCAAACAAACCACGTGAGCAACATGCCACGAGGAGGCCTTTAATTCAGCAGTGGCTGGAAAAAGTCTGGTAATTGGTATCTACTGTGTAATTCAACACATCACGAGTATTTGCATCAAGACTGCACACCGTCACCTCAATGCCCCACACATGCTTTGTTCGGTTGGGCCTCTCCGCTTGCTTGTCTGGATTGACCACATCGCGCACAGCTGTAATGTTAAACCCGGGACATCTATAAACAAATGGTGGGTGTGGGTGTGTGTGGGTGTGTGTGGGTGGGTGTGTGTGGGTGTGTGTGTGTGGGTGTGTGTGGGTGTGTGTGTGGGTGGGTGTGTGTGGGTGTGTGTGGGTGGGTGTGTGTGTGTGTGTTTGTGTAGCGGTCGTGTAGCGGCTAGCGCGCTGCGCTATGAATCCCGATTCCCGCTCACAGCCAACAACGGTGATGATTATCTGGGCCTCCGCTAGGTCTACTCAGCCTCAAATGAGTATCTGGTGTGGTGTGTAAATATCGCATCTGGGGATACAAAGGCAGTCGGGCGTGGTGCTGGCCACCCACCCCTTCGTGTACCGTTCCGGCCTTCATAGGTGCTCGCTAACAGCACTTGCCCCTACAGTCTGTGAAGGCTACACGGGGTGTCTTTGTATATATTAAAAAGGGTTCGCTGGCTCAAGAGATAACCGTGGTGTATGATCACGTGTGTGCCTGGACGCACACGTGATCTGGGTGCGAGGCTGCTGCTGCTCTGCGGTGTTGATGAACTCTCCGCAGAGTCGTTCTCGGGTTTCGCGAGTTCCGTCTCTCCAACTGTGGCGCTGTTCGGGCTACCACTCACTCATCCACCCACTAACTCACCTGCTCACCCACCCTCTTACACAACCACCCACTCACCCACCCACTTACTCACCAAACCACCACTCACTCATCCACCCACTAACTCACCTGCTCACCCACCCTCTTACACAACCACCCACTCACTCACCCACCCACTTACTCACCAAACCACCACTCACTCATCCACTCACCTGCTCACCCACCCTCTTACACAACCACCCACTAACTCACCCACCCACTTACTCACCAAACCACTACTCACTCATCCACCCACTTACTCATCTAACCACCACTCATCCACCCACTAACTCACCTGCTCACCCACCCTCTTATACAACCACCCAATAACTCACCCACCCACTTACTCACCAAACCACCCACTAACGCACCTACTCACCCACTCTCTGACTCCCCCAACCATGCACTAATTCACCCACCCCCTTTACTCGCTCAACCACCCACTAACTCACCTACTCACCCACCCACCCTCTTACTCACCTAACCACCCACCAACTCACCCACCCTCTTACCCAACCACCCGTTAACTCACCTACACAAACACCCTCTTACTCACTCAACCACCCACTAATTCACCGACTCACCCACCCTCTTACTCACCTAACCACCACTAAATCACCCACCCTCTGACTCACTCAACCACCCACTAACTCACCGACTCACCCACCCTCTTACTCACCTAACCACCACTAACTCACCCACCCTCTTACTCACCCAAGCACCCACTAACGCAGCCTACGCACACACCCTCTTACTCACCCAACCCCTCATCCACACACCACCATCCACTAATCTGCTCGCCCACTGACCCAACCACCCACCTACTCTTCCACTCGCTCACCTTTTGCTGCGTTCGTCCCATCTATTTTGGAACTCCGTGTTGGTCACTGTCCCCCACGATTTGTCACCGTCAGCCAGTTCTGCAGGACAGCAGTAGACTCGAGCAATGTTCTGTGAAAGCTCACAAAGAAGCATGACCACGGCGCCGCTGTGTGCCATAGGAATGGGGTGAATTCCAAATGTTAATTCGTTTTCATCTCAATCGTGTTATAGATTTCACGTCAAGAGGTCGTTTAATGCATTTGGATTTCTGGCAGAGCAGTGCCATCCCTTTGCGTTAGCTAATGGCCTTTGTAAGTAGATATCGCATAACTACCTCTGAGATGCCTTCAGGTCACCTTTGGTCCTCACAGTATGGGACAGGATCCACGCCAGTCTTGCCACCATCACACGACAGTTTTCAAACCGAGAATCAAAAATCTCTGATCTGATGCGGTGTTTATCAATATTAAGTGCAGATCCGAATTTAATGTGTCAAGTTTTTGTTTTTATGTGTTTGTGTGTGGTCGTTGGCGACTGGGTTGATACCTTTGGGCTAACTCCACCCGAGAAGGCGCTTGAACTACGGGCAGCTGTCTGAGTTTGAACCCAGCTCATCGACGGTGCCCAGCTCGGCACTCTGACCTTTGAACCGCCCAGCCAAGTCTCCCAAGCGTGAGAGATATTCAGAGCTCTCGGCTCGCGATGGGAAGTACGCAAAGTTCAATTCCCACACGCGGAGATGCATCCGGCCCATTGTTAGGTAACGGCGAGTTGATTCAACGATTCTTAAGCTGACAACGCGTGCATCATGTTGTTGGTGTGGTGTGGAACTGTTTTTGTTGTTTTGCTGCGTTGCCCAGCTTGCATTTGATGAATTATATGTACCTTGTGCAATTTGTACTTCTATACTTTTATTAGTCTTTATTTTTATTAGCCACTTGCTTACCTTTTCTCAACCTTGATTTTTCACGTACGGTTGTTTGCATTGTCGACGTAAATCGCTGAACCCCGTGTGCCCCTGCCAGACGACACGTGAAAGAAACGAAGAGCTTCACAGCTCATCGTATTCCTCCTCCGTAGTCCTACGCAAAGGTCCCCTCGCCCCCCCCCCCCCCCCCCCCCCGATGTCCCGACTCAACTTGTCTTCCGCGCCGTGGCAGGTGCCTGCAGCCGGTGAAGATGGTGGCGGGCGTGCTGGCGGTGGGGGCGGCCTGCGGGGGGCTGGCGTGGGCGCGCCGGCACGGCGAGGCGGTGCGGCTGGCGCAGCGCCACAATCCGGGCGGCGTCGCCGTGGCGCTCGCGCTCTGCAGCCTGGCGCTCTGCCACCTCGTGGGCGGCCTGCTCTTCTTCCTCAGCGGCATCGCGCTGCCCGTGCTGCGTGAGTCGCCCCAACGCCTCCACCGCGCCGCCTCCACCGCACCGCCGTTAAATCGGACAACAACCCGCGCCGGCACTTTCAGACGCGTCCTTCCTGCGGCCGTCTGGCGTGCTCTTTGCTTCTCGTGTTAGGAAGCCATTGGGAGCTGTGCACTTTTAAATTATCGTCTAGATTGAAAATTCGCTCCTTTAGAACTGCTTTTGTTGTCCCCCCCCCCCCCGCGGACCTCCAATTAGCACGTTTGGCCATGTACGGTGGGAAAGAAGTTCAACATACTGACGTACAACTCGTAATAAAGAAGGGTGTTTTTTGGTTGTAATCACCAAACGAAACGTAAATGTTGTGGGTTTCCTCTCCAACACACCAGTGTGCTCAAGTAGTAAATAATTGGCACGTTTTGTTTATGTGGCAAACCTCACTAATTGGCTGTGTTTGATGGTGGTGGATTAAAGACACAATTATATTTAACCCACAAAAAAAACTTTCATATGAATAATTATGGTCACGAAAGCCCACTACTATCTGTTAAACCAGCGGCGCTAAAGTTCGTGTAGAAATAATACAATGACGAGGGTGGCAACCGAGGATCGCGAACGTAACCGGGCGGACATTCACCGAGGAGACGGAGGGAGCCGTGAGGTCTGTTGGCGTGCAGGTGCCGCTGGGTGGGATCGAGGCACGGCAGGATCGTGAGAGGTGGTGGCTGTGGTATTGGCCACACGCCCCAGGGCTGACAAAGTACCCGCAAATGACCTAATTTGACCGAATTTAGCAGGCCTTAATTTGCTTAAGATTATTAATAATTAACAAAATTATCGAGCGAAATATTCGCGACCAAAGTGGGCTTTATTTTATTCAATGATGTTTGTGAGTGGATGAAAATCGTCGATCGTGACGAAATGTTTCTCCGTCATCAGCATCTGTTCAACAAGGCTCGACACGAGGGGTACACGACGCACACGCAGCTGTTTAGCAAGGGAGACGCGGTGGCGTTCACAACACCCCTAACGCAGTGGGCAGAGGCGGAGGTGCAGCCCAGCAATTTCTCGCTCAAGCCGCTGCCGAACGACGGCGGATTGTTGTTTTTACATTTTAACGGCTCCTCGTTTGTCCCGTCGCAGTGGTGATCCTTCACGCGTCGCTCCGCTTGCGCAACATCAAGAACAAGGTGAGCAACCAAATGGAGCTGCTGGGAGTGAGGAGGACCCCCATGGGGCTGCTGCTGGAGGCCCTGGGCCAGAACCTGGATCCGCAGGCCGACGACACGACGGAGGTGGAGCAGCGGTACGCCAAGTCCCGCTGAGCGACGTGGCCGTTGATCAACTAGGGGGATGGGTAACTTTTAGGGCAATCTTCGCCGGCAACGAGTTCCAGCACGAGCGACCGTGGCAACTTTGGGGGCGACGGAGTTTTTGTCTCGTGCCGATCGCAGAGCAGCATGTTTGAGTTGACAGTAATTCATGTAGAGACGAGAGATAGCAATCTGTTGCTGAAGTGCATCTGCTGAAAAAATAGGCTCAGAGGCATGAGGGGGATGGCTATAGCACCAGTAACTAGTTGGTTATGTTAGGGGACAGGAAATTGGTCATTCGGCAAGTTCTTCATGCAGTCCACTTGCTGGCAATCGCTCAGTCAGTTGGTCAGCCACTGCGATACATTTCAATATAATATTTGCCTCTGGGGAAAAAAAGTCTTCAGTAGTCAGAAGGCATCTCTCTCGTCCATCCACATGCACCAACTTGGAGCCGACATTTCTCAAAATAAAAAGAGATTTCTTGCCGGTCAGTCACGTGAGCTCCGTCCGCGATCCGATTGGATCTGACCGTCGCAGCTTCCCCATGGGGGGCAGCCACAATCAGATTTGTTCAGGTTTTGGGCAACTATATTTTTACAACAGGAACCATGCTGCAGCAACCATTGCTGGTGACGATTGCCCCCCCCCCCCCATCTAGAATGAATTGCCCCCTGTGAAATCACGGATTTCGACGGACGGGGGGGGGGGGGGGGTGCCCTGGTAATTGGGAGCGGTCCGTGTACGAGTCGTCGAGTTTATTTTGACTTGACCAGGTGAAAACTCAAGAGGCCAATGATAGGCGGTCTCATTTTCAAGAGTGAACCCGGCTCACTGTCAATGACAAAAACAAAAGTGATGCGGAGTAGCAGTCGGAGTAACCGCGTCACGTGAGGAACATATTGCGCTAATACAAATCGATGTCAAGATAATAATAAATTCACCGTCGCGTTAGCCGGCTCGGACAGGTGATTTTGAGACTGATCGCAGTACAATTTGCGAATTGAGCTTCGGAAAAACATTAAACGAATACAGGGTAACTACTAATACTGTAACTCTATGTATAATCCTGGGGGCAGTGGCTGAGGGGGGTGGGCAAATGTGAACAAGGGGTCCCTCTACTGGCGATACGAGTGCCAACGCCCAGATGTGCAGCGTCACCACTCGCTGGGGTCAGCCAGATGTCAGGCTAAGAATATTCAGGTCATGCTTGCTTCCAAACTCCGCCCCAGGTTTTTTCCTGCCTCGTTTTGTGATGACACGTGCAAGGTAGATTAACGACCTCGATATGCAGCGACTCGCATATGTCGCTGCATATCGACCCCCCACTCGCGTGGCCCAGGCCCCCCCCCCCATTGGTCGGGGGATACGTTGATGACAAAACCACTGTGCACCAGGGTCCGTTGTTGCCTTATGATGCGCGTCCCCGTGGATCGTGCGTCCGAGGGAATGCGTCCTCGGCAATGTCGAGTAACAAAAACAAACCCCCCGGCCCGCTTGCAACGCTCTGCGCTGCAGATGTGTGACCATTTCGAGGCATGCGGCGGCGGCGGCGTCTAAGCGAAGCCGCGTTGCCACGGTTTGTTTGCACGCGAATGCGCCCGTACGGAAAACGCTCAAAATGCTTCTCTGTGTATTACCACCGTGTGCCCGTCACACACTTCTCACCGTAACGTCCCTTAAAAGTTCGCTCTCTTGCCTCGGTTATTCCATGGGCAGTCTCACCGAGCCTCAAGACTCCTCCTTCATGAGAGTAGTGTGCGTGGCGACCGACGTTGCTATTGTGCGTAATCCCAATCGAGAGATTTTTCAGATAATCTTCTCAGGTGTTTAGCCAATACCAGCTACGTTGGGGTTCTTTGTTGCCAGGTTTGTTCTGTTTTTAGCTGCGGGAGGAAATTGGAGATGTCCCGGAGGGAAAACCCCACGCAGGGCAGGGGAAAGACGTAAAAAGAAAAAAAAAACTTCGCACAGAATGGGGGAGCCCGATTAGGGAATGAAACCCAGAGCCCCGTCCTTGCTGCGAGGTCGTCACCACTGCGCCGCCGCCACCACGCGTGCGACTGCGTCTGCCCTCACCACCATAAATGTCACTTCAGTTCCCTGCAGAATTCGAGCCGTCATAGGCTGCTGTAATGACGACGAAAAAAGACCTCTCCATCCCTCCCGATGGGTGCACTCTCGCATTTGGACGCACTTTGCGGTGGTCCACGTCAAGCAACCTTGGTCAATCCCATTGCTTGAACGAGGTACCCCCCCCCCTCCCCCCCCCCCTTTCAGCAACGTCACGCCACGGGTCCTTATTTTGACCATACCTCACCGCGCCGGTCAGTGCGGAGTCGTTGAATGCGGGGAGCGTAGACGGGGGGGGGGGGGGGGGGGGAAGTGGAAGGTACGGCGGTGCCAACGATGGATTCTGCTGCCCCTGCACTGTGCTGCCAAACCACGTAGCCCCCCTCCTCCCACCGCACAGCCTATAACACCTTTTGTGGTCGATGCTTTATAATCGCAAACTGCATGACACCCATTGGGTTGTGTTATGCTCGAAGCGTGATACGCAAGCAGAGCCCTCTTTGTTTCATCTCATCCAGTTACATCGGCTCGCAACGAAGTTCTTCCGCCCGTTAAACTGTTTTTTGCAGTTGGCAAACAGCGGGGGCCATTTGCAGTACATTGAGTCGAAGTGAAGACATTGCCGATGAGTTTTAAATCAATTTGGAGGATGCAAGTGTTGATGGAAAGGGGTAGAAGCAGTGTCGCAGTGGTTCGGGCACTTCGACTGTGAACCCGGCTACCTGAGCTCGACTCCCGACCGTGGTGAACATCAGTGGCAGGTGATGTCTGAACCGCTCCTCGGCCACCCCTCCCACTTCACCAACCCAGACCTGACCAGCGCGGTGAAGTATGGTCAAACAACCTCCATGGCTGATACGGTGTGAGTACTGTCATCTATCAGGGGATTGACACAAAGCTGCATATTATTACAAGTAGTGTAGCTAAGCACTGTTGAGTATTTACAGTAATATATATTGTGAATGGGTGAGATTTGTCAGCTGATTGGAATTGGTCCAAGCACTGGTTTTAAAGCTATTTGTTCAGTCACGGGAAGCTTGTTTTTTGTGGAATATTCACATCTGTTGGCTTTAAAATTATCTCTTGCAGTAGATATTCCTACGTGGTTTGTAGTATTTTGCCTCTGCCGTATATTTTCGGAGGAAACGCTAATAATACATATCTGCACAGCGCTGTGTAAAATCTGTGACAATTGAACTTATAACGATTTGCCACCCTGCATTTCAATGAATTGTCACGATTCTAGATTTGAAGTTTTCGTAACTGCAAGGATCCATACTCTTTGGTTTTTTCGGTAAAGTCACGTAGGTGAAAACAAAATAAACAATAAAACAACAAAATTAAATCACGACGTTTCGGAAGCAACACAAGCCTCCGTCATCAGGTGTGACTGCTCCAGCAAAATTACTGTAGCGTATCCGGGATCGCAGTTTGGGTTTGAGAATATATGCAAGGTGTTATTTCTACGTTGTCGTTAGTGGTAGCTCATCGCTCAAACAGATTACGACCAACGTGAATTTCAAACGAATCGATTCGCGCGCACACAATTTGATGTGCGGGTACCATAAACTTAAGAACCGATTTCAATCGATGAATTGTGGTGTTATTGTCTCAGAAATCCGACAATCTGCCCGAGATATACAAATCTTGGGACGATCGGAAAATATCTCGGGTTGATCTGAAAAACCGTTGGTCACTAACGAGACACCACTTCCGCCAAAAGTGCCATCGTCACGTGTCGTCGAGGTGAGGGTCACAGTTGTTATCACGAAGACGCTTCCTGCCATGCGTTACTTAATGGAAATTTATCTGGAAACTAAAAAGTGAAACTTTTCTTTCAAATGTGAAAAATCCGAAATGTACGAATCTGAAACTCGCGCCGAGTATAAAGAAACTGACGGTGACAGCCCAGTTTAGAAAATGAATTGAAAGTGAATGAACACCACGTGTCAACAATAAACAATGCCTAAGTTCTATAGGGCAAGTTCCTGTGTGAACCCAGAGTAACTAGTAACATCCTGTTTCGTTTTCCTGAACATTAAACACCAAAACCATACGTTTTCTCTCAACGTTCAAATACTCTGGTTATGTTTTCGTACCAAAAAAGTCATGATTGGTAGACTGTTGACCTGCCACTCGCAGGGAAATCCCGAGCCGAATGTATTTTTGTAGCCAGGTCTGCACACAAGCCGATGCCACAGTGAGTAAACCTCTTGCCAACAGACCCTGTTAAGTTGAAACTGATTTGTATTTTCAGTTTGTCTGCATCTTGGTTTCATACAGCTCTGCCAAATACAGTACGTTGTATTCACATTTTCTTTTGTCATGTCTTGCAAAATGCGATTAATAAAAATAATGTAATATATATAAAAGGTCTGCACGTATCACTGTTGTCGTCACCCCACCCCCCACATCTAATTACCGACTATAATCACCCAGAAATGTCTGTCCGTCCCGCGTGTGACGTCACTCCACATGAGGCCCACCCTCCCGCGTGACGTCACTCCACAAGAGTCCCACCCCCCTCATTAATATTCATGAGTGGGTGGATTTTTACACGAACGCAAAGGTCGTGCCGAATTAAATAATTTATTACGCAACGTCGCTTCAAATATGACGACGTTTCTTTACAGAAAGTAACTGTAAAAATACATCTACGCAGCACAGTGCTACATCCGTGCGTGATGTCACTGTAAGAGAAGGACACTGCGTCTATGCTGGATCCAAAGAGTGACCAACGTAGAAGTAAGAAAACGGTTTCAAGTAGAAGATGAAGAAGACATGATGATGATGGAGGCAGTGATGCGCAGGAGACTGCCGCTATTTAGACCCACGTGTAGGGTGGACAACAACAGGAGAATTAAAACGGTTGTTGTTGGGAAAAATTGAAGGAACCAGAACGAGAGGAAGACCTCGCAGAGAATGGCTCGACGATGACATCACAACAGATTGGTGCCAGAAAGACGCGGCCGCGACTTGAGCGTGTTGGCACAAGACACAGAGGGAAGTGGAAACAGATGTCGAAATGTGCCGTGGACACCTATGGGGCTACCTGCCCATGGATCGTGACGATGATGATGACCATGCAGGCACGCCTGAGTCTTATGACACATTTTACAGTGGGGAGAGATGATTGCAAAGCACAGTATTTTCCCAATTGAGTCATTTGCAGTGTCAATTTTCAAATTTCGAAAATTTTAGACTATGATGCTGGCACATTAAAATGATTAAACTTTGACTTAAAACTTTCGTGACTGCAGGAATTCATATTCTTGGTTCTTTCGGTAAAGTCACGTTGATAGAAAAAATGATCAAAGTAAATAAATTTGTTTCATTTACTTTTATTATTAATACAAATAAATACATTTTATTATTTTTCTACCTACGTGACTTTACCGAAAGAACCAAGAATATAACTATTAAACTATTTTTATTTTACCAGGTAAGGCCCACCGAGCTGTATAGCTCTTTTTCAGAAGCGACCTGGCCACAAATGAAAGCTCAATGAAGTGGCTCATGAGGTGTAAATTTATTGCAGCCAAATATTCTAAACGCGTGTTTATAAATGTGAAGGGAAAAACCGGAGGACCCGGAGAAAAATCCACGCGACTGCTGGGAGAACATGCAAACTCCAAATATACAGACATTAGGGTCAGAGTGGAACCCATGACCTCCTGCATACCAGGCGAGGGAGATAACATCTCGCCACCGCAGCGCCCACACAATGTCCTACTCTTGCGAATAACCTCACGGAATCTTGAACGTCCAACTGAAGCAGATAGCCCATATTAGCATTGCCATATCCACAGTATTAACCAGGGCAACCACTAGATTCTAACTGTGAACCACTGCAACGAGCGGGGAATGTGCCGCTGCCAAACCACGTTACCCCATATGGACGCTATATGAATAAACAAGTAAATATCGAAAATACTAAATAGTACTTTTAAAATGAAACCTTCAAGTCAAGGTCCATTCGGCAAATTTAGAACTGCTCTAAATGACAAGACATTTTCCCTTCCTGCTGTATACACAATCTTGCTCAATTGTCGCACATGGAAATTTGTTTATGAGCTAAATGCCCAACGTCGACGTCTGCTGGCCACGACGAGAGAACTTCAGGAGAGAGTTTGTGTAGTTTTGCTATTCCTCCTCTGTTGAAGGAGTGCAGACTACCAGTAGTTTATTATAGGTCCATAGTTTGAGTTGCATGGCCAGAAATGAACTATGTTGTGCCCTCTGTTGAGTTTGTATGCCCATTTGAACAGGGCCAAACTATAGGTGTGGTGCCCATAGAGCCCACAGGGTGACCATCGCGGCGTGTAATTCTCCCGCGTGGAACAGTTGATGTCTAACCTTGAACCTAGTTTTAAACGGTTGCCCCTAATGATTCGCAAATCAGCTCAGCGTTACCTGGGTAATCGGACCATGCCGCGTGCGCGCAGATAGCAGGACGTGTATTTTTATACCCGCTCGCACACGCACACACACACACGGGCAGTGGCACTACTTAAGCCACTTTGCCGTCACCAACTCGTGATTCGCTCTACGCACCGTCGGTGTCAATCTTGCCGGCGCCGATAGCTCGCGGCACGTGGAACCCGGTCGAGCGATGAGCGACGAGGTCGATGGCGACGCCGCAGAGGTGTGCGGCGGCGACGACGGTGCCGCGACGCCGGCGACGACGAGGGGGACGCGAGTCATCGGCCATCTCGGGGTGTCGTACGAGACCTACGAAGAGGATGAAGCAACAGACTACCAGGACATCGACGATGAGCTGGACCCAGAGCTGCGCAAGCGAACGATCAAGTTGCTGCTGCTGGGTACGTGTGCGGTCGGTCCTGTACATGTGTGTTGACTGCCACCTTGCAGGTGCAAATAACTGGGATGTCATCATGGAAAGAGGGATATCTCACAATACTGGAATAAGGGATCACTGCATAGGAGTGAATTGTCTTGAGTAGTACATTTTCGTGCAAACTGTTACATCATCATGCAGCTTACAGAAATCGTCACTTTTTATCTCCCAGGGAGACTTACATATTTGGCATGACCCCTACAGCGACCTGGGTTTGATTCCTGGCCACAGCTGGTTAACGCCATAGAATGAGTACCTGGTGCGGTGCGCAAACGCTGGGGAGAAAGGGCGGCCGATTGTGGAGTTTGCCACAACACCACTCCCTTGTGCGCCATACCAGCCTGAGAAGGTGCTCGCTAACCGCACTTTCCCCAGAAGTCAGTTTAAGGCTATATGGGGGATCTTTGTCTCTGTGCCTTTACTTTCCATTTGTCCATCTTGGTGAAGACATTCAGAATATTATATTGAGAAGTGTCTGCATGATTTGAGGATCTTCAATAAAGTGCTGTTTGTGAAATGTGTATATTTGCCCTGTACAGTTTCATCACCCACTGTCAATCTCAATAAATGATCGCACAATTGCTACCGCGTAGGTTTTCGTGGTTGCGCTGTATTCCTCTCCGTTGCGTTTATTTGTGTTGTTTGCACCGCGCGTCGTACGGCACTACGTTTGACCCCCTTTCCGCTCCAGGGTGCTGGAAGTCTATTCGGGGAACCGAGTTCGGATTCCTGAGAGACGTTCCCACCGAAACGTCCGAAAGAAGCTCCCCCGGGGCACGCGGAAAGGGGACGTTCCCCTCTCCGCGTGATGTGCAGACCTGTGATCGCCGCTGGGTATTGGGGAGAGGCAAATGCGCTTGGTGGCCGTCGGCGTCCGCTCCGGGTAATCTGCTCAGGATAATTTCCGACGGGAAGGCTTGGCCGCAGCAGTCAAACAATCGCCCGATTGCTTCACGATGCCGGGTGGGATGAGGCGTCGAGGCTTTAGCGGTGGCCTCGCAATGCCGAGGAGCGCCTCGAAGGGTGACACAAAGACTATGGCCCGGCAACAGCAGCCCATGTGTTGTCATGACAACACAACACATTGTCATGACAACACAACACATTGTCATGACAACACATGCTGCTGCTGCTGCTGCTGCTGCGGTGCTCACACTTCTATTTAGGTCATGACTCCTGTTGTGTCGGAACGATGCCCGACGTTTTGCTCCACTTCCTGACAGCTTATTCCTGGACTTCAAGAACTAACTTCACATTTTTAGAAACTTTGGCAGCTGAATTCGGTTCCTGAAGAAGCAACCATGATGTCCAACGGTTTGTTCCACGCGCTGGGAGCTTCTTCATGAACTAAACGGAGCTGCTGCACTTTGTCTCACGATTGCCGGATGCCGCTGGCACTTCGTGTAGGCCAGCCGACGATGTTTTTCAGCAGCTTCGTCACGAGTGCATTCAAGCTCACTCGCTGTTGTTCGCTGGCTTCGTCAGACGTTGTGCTGAACAACACGTGGTTACAACCCAAGAACACACGGGAGAATGGTGACAAGTCGTTCCACAACCCCTTGAGCTTCCAAACGGAAGATGTTTAGAGGGGTTACCCTCCACGGCTTCCTTCATGCGCCTTTAAGACAAGGATTCATGAAAAAACTGAAAGTACATGGGCTCAAACGTAACCCTGTATTTCACTTTAGTTGTGCCGATTATATTTTATGGCAAATAAAAATATTTTTTCACTAACCGTTTGCTTTAAAACGTATGTCTCATGTTATTTCATACTTTGATTTATTTTTTATTTATGTAATGAGCAATAATTAACTTTGAGAAATTCACTCTGATTATATAATCCACCTTTTTATTAAAAGGCCTACACAATCAACTTTTACAAATTCACGTTTTGATGTATATAATGATAAACGACTAATTTGAAGAATTGGTGTCACGTTTTCTTTTATTTATCAAATGTGGCAAGACAGGAGGACAAGCAAGGGAGAAGCCCTAAAAAAATTAACCCGTAAAAACAAAGTTTTTCACTATAAATCCTTTATATGCGTGGCGGCTAGAGTCCTCTCGTCCTCTGGCTTGAGATGGCTGCCACCTATGGGTCAGATGATTGCCTGCCACCATTAAGCAATTGGTAATTAAATATAATTTTTTTTCCTAAAAAGTGTAAAGTTATGGAATTTTTTTTCACGAAAATAAATTGTCATACACAACGAGTCTGTGTGCAAAATGTCAGCTCGATTGGATCACGGGAAGTGGGTTAAAAAACTACCGAAAGATTTGCACGGTCGTAAGCGCGCAAGCAAGCAAGCAAGTGAACTTAATATAAAGGATTTAAAAAGAACATGGCAGGTGGCGAGTGTTGTAGATATGATCAGAGGAACAAGGGTTGTGCTGTGTGAGCCGTGTGTCAGAATCAGAGTCTGTATTCATCCTGGAGAAAACCGATGAGCTATGAAGATTTTTTCACAGAAGTCCAGTCGGGGGTGGGTCAGAATGTTTCGACAAAAACGATAGGGGTCCAAAGTACAGGAAAGGTGAGCGAATCACTGAGAACAAATTAACCTTATGGCGGGACCCCGGGGTCCCATAAGCCCCCGGCTCTCGCATGAACTGCGTTGCGACGTCATTGTATGTCTGTTGAAGGCGAGCGATACGGCGATCTATTCCTCTAGACGAGCTCTACGCGATGCGCTAATTGAAGTTTCAAAGTTTTGTTTCTTCTGCGCATTCGTCCTCGCCGCTGCGCTTGGACGACACGACAACAGGACGATCTGCGCCAGGTGGGTCACGGCGTTTATGTGCGCGGTGGGACGGAGTCGCCAAAAATAAATAAATTAATCACGATTTGGACTTACGTTTATTCCGGACCCCGGGGTCCCACCATAAGGTTCAAATACGCTAAATAGTTAAAGCATTTGAGTTCAAATTGCACTCGCACACCAATTCCCAAACTTGGGCAACAGAAAAAAACCAGCCCCAGAATACACCAAGACCAAGACACGATGTGCAAGATGGGTAAATCTTGGTGATGAGATTCTGGTGAGGGTAAATCTTGGTGATGAGATACTGGTGAGGGTAAATCTTGGTGATGAGATACTGGTGAGGGTAAATCTTGGTGATGAGACACTGGTGAGAGAAAATCTTGGTGATGAGATTCTGTGAGGGTAAATCTTGGTGATGAGATTCTGGTGAGGGTAAATCTTGGTGATGAGATACTGTGAGGGTAAATCTTGGTGATGAGATACTGGTGAGGGTAAATCTTGGTGATGAGATACTGGTGAGGGTAAATCTTGGTGATGAGATACTGGTGAGGGTAAATCTTGGTGATGAGACACTGGTGAGAGTAAATCTTGGTGATGAGATTCTGTGAGGGTAAATCTTGGTGATGAGATTCTGGTGAGAGTAAATCTTGGTGATGAGACACTGGTGAGAGTAAATCTTGGTGATGAGATTCTGTGAGGGTAAATCTTGGTGATGAGATTCTGGTGAGAGTAAATCTTGGTGATGAGACACTGGTGAGGGTAAATCTTGGTGATGAGATACTGTGAGGGTAAATCTTGGTGATGAGATTCTGGTGAGGGTAAATCTTGGTGATGAGACACTGGTGAGGGTAAATCTTGGTGATGAGATTCTGTGAGGGTAAATCTTGGTGATGAGATTCTGGTGAGGGTAAATCTTGGTGATGAGACACTGGTGAGGGTAAATCTTGGTGATGAGATACTGTGAGGGTAAATCTTGGTGATGAGACACTGGTGAGAGTAAATCTTGGTGATGAGATTCTGTGAGGGTAAATCTTGGTGATGAGATTCTGGTGAGAGTAAATCTTGGTGATGAGACACTGGTGAGGGTAAATCTTGCTGATGAGATACTGTGAGGGTAAATCTTGGTGATGAGATTCTGGTGAGGGTAAATCTTGGTGATGAGACACTGGTGAGGGTAAATCTTGGTGATGAGATACTGTGAGGGTAAATCTTGGTGATGAGATTCTGGTGAGGGTAAATCTTGGTGATGAGATACTGGTGAGGGTAAATCTTGGTGATGAGATACTGTGAGGGTAAATCTTGGTGATGAGATTCTGGTGAGGGTAAATCTTGGTGATGAGATACTGTGAGGGTAAATCTTGGTGATGAGACACTGTGAGGGTAAATCTTGGTGATGAGACACTGTGAGGGTAAATCTAGGTGATGAGATTTTGGTGAGGGTAAATCTTGGTGATGAGACACTGGTGAGGGTAAATCTTGGTGATGAGATACTGTGAGGGTAAATCTTGGTGATGAGATACTGGTGAGGGTAAATCTTGGTGATGAGATACTGTGAGGGTAAATCTTGGTGATGAGATTCTAGTGAGGGTAAATCTTGGTGATGAGATACTGTGAGGGTAAATCTTGGTGATGAGACACTGTGAGGGTAAATCTTGGTGATGAGACACTGTGAGGGTAAATCTTGGTGATGAGATTCTGGTGAGGGTAAATCTTGGTGATGAGACACTGGTGAGGGTAAATCTTGGTGATGAGATACTGTGAGGGTAAATCTTGGTGATGAGATTCTGGTGAGGGTAAATCTTGGTGATGAGATACTGGTGAGGGTAAATCTTGGTGATGAGATACTGTTAGGGTAAATCTTGGTGATGAGATTCTGGTGAGGGTAAATCTTGGTGATGAGATACTGTGAGGGTAAATCTTGGTGATGAGACACTGTGAGGGTAAATCTTGGTGATGAGACACTGTGAGGGTAAATCTTGGTGATGAGATACTGGTGAGGGTAAATCTTGGTGATGAGATACTGTGAGGGTAAATCTTGGTGATGAGATTCTGGTGAGGGTAAATCTTGGTGATGAGATACTGTGAGGGTAAATCTTGGTGATGAGACACTGTGAGGGTAAATCTTGGTGATGAGACACTGTGAGGGTAAATCTTGGTGATGAGATTCTGGTGAGGGTAAATCTTGGTGATGAGACACTGGTGA